TGTTTGGTTGTTTGCGCAAAATTCCATACTATTCGGGCTAATATTACACGTTTGGTGCACAATAAAAAGCAAATCGGACGAAGATATATATGGGAGCTACATCAATGGGGTTTGTCCTTTGACCAAATAAATGATTTGTGAAAAATTTCATCTAGATCGGGTAATAAATGCGAAATGTACCTTGTTCACAAAAATACATGGACGGACGGACGGACATGCATAAATCGACTCAGAATGTGATTGTATGCAGATCATCAAAAGGAACTATGGGTCTATCTCGATTCCCTTTGCCTGTTACAGACAAATGCACAAAGACATAGTACCCTGACCACCTTGTGGTGTAGGGTATAAAAATCTATCTATTAAGAATCTTAAATACCAAATTTGTGGGTAAATGTGACTAGGATTAACAAAATACCGAATATTCTTGGAATATATGCTCTATAGAAAAACGTACACCAAGATATTCAATGTTCTGCCACCCGAACAAGAACTCATTATAAACTACAAATGCCAATTTTAAGACATTCTGTGGAACACTTAGCAAAAAGCATCAAAATACCGTATATCGGGAGGAACCATTAAATGGTGGCTATACGAAAACGTGGTCTTATATGGCCGAACATTGTATAGTTCGGCCACCGGACCTGGAACCCCTTACGAACTACAAATGCCAATTTGTTAACAAATCCGTACAAAAAATGTGACCAAATTCATCAAAATACCGAATATCGGGAGGTACCGTTATATGGGGGCTAAACGAAAATGTTGACTTATGTATACAATGTTCGGCCACCAGAGCTGGAACCCGTTAAGAACTGTAAATGCCAAATTGTGAACAAATCCGTACAAAAAATGTGACCAAAATTATCAAAATACCGAATTCGGGAGGTACCGTTATATGGGGGCTATACGAAAACGTGGACCAATATGTACAATGTTCCACCACCGAAGCTGAAACCCATTACGTACTACAAATACCATTTTTTAGACAAGCCCGTGGAAAAACGTGGCAAAAGTCATCAAAACATCGAATATCGGGAGGTATCGTTATATGAGGGCTATACGAAAATCTGAATCTCTGATTACAAATTACATTTAAAGCTAGTATGTTTTGTGAAGGAAGGAAGAGCCGATGTTTTGAAAAATTAGAGTAATTGTGAGAGGTTGTTTTTCAACTTTTCTTTTTTTTTTAAAGAAGAGAAAATTGGATAAGAAAAGGACCGGAGGATTTAGTGTACAAAAGCAACAACACTACTATGTGATTTGTTGGCAAAGTTTAACGTGTTGGTTTCGTTTGCTGAAAATACAACAATGGTATGACAAAAACTAAAGAGCACTGGACAAGATTAGATTCTCCTTGTTTATCGAACGAATCGAAATGAAACGAGAAAAACATGATAATCCTAAAAAGAGAGTTTTGATCGTTATGTGTTTCTACTCTCAGGAGTGCTACCGCTCGATTTCGAGCTAGTTTCTCTCTTTACTCGAATTAATAAAACTTATTTTACCCGGATCCATTAGCTTTAGTACAAACATTGTGAGTAGAGTTGTGCCAATCTAATTCGATTGAAAGATCAAGTTCCTTATGTAGCTCCGTGGACTCTGCGTATAAGTGATTTGAAATTTATGAAATCGATCATACGTTTAGGAACTGTGTACTGAACGATGAACTAGATTGACACGACGATTAGATTGCGAGCTCTAATCTTATATATTTATTTTTTGTTTGTGTAGCGCACACTGTGCAACAACGGGACACACTCCTAACTTTAAAAATATTCACATATTAACACAATAGAACAATTACAAACGAAGATATATGTTGGAAATGCTTCATATAATTGATGTCCCTGTAGAAAATATAATGAACTATAAATCAGACACAGAACACTGTGCGCAAATTTAAAGAAAAGGATAGAAAGACACAAAAGAGTTTAGTCTGAAAATCTCTGTAAGGTGATGTAGAAGTAAAATTGTTTTTGAGAATATAATAAATGTAATTACTTGTATTTGTTAATTGTTTATAAAATATTAAAATGCATGTTATTTGTTTTTAAGTTCAATCCCTGATGATGATCGTCGATGCTGATCGAAATATTTGAAATAAAAATTTAAAAAAATAAATTAATGTTTTTTATTCTACTGACCTCGAGCCAAATTAAAATATTTTTTTTTCCAAGTTTTAAAGTGAAGACAAGAATAAAACTAAGTTTCTCAAATCTAATATTTCATGTGGAGAGGATGTTATAGTTTTGATTGGATCCAAAAATTGTGATATCCCGAAAAATTAGTTCTAGGCCCTCCACATAAAATACAGACCATCATATCTTGACGTAGACTAGATCAAGCTATGTGTGTTCATAACATAGATCGCAATTATGAGCCGATTCTGAAGTGAGAATGGTAACCTATATTTCTCTTAGGAATTATTTTTTTCGAATTTGCAATCGCTCTACAGTTAAAAATTTTAGACCAATCGACAATGAATTTAGCATGGCTTTTAAACCATCCTCCATACTATTGAGGGTATATCAACATCGTCATTCCTTACCCAACAAAGTATATATATTCTTGATCATCGTAAAATTCTAAATCGATTAAGTGATGTCCGTCTGTCTTTCTGTTGTAATCACGCTATTTTTCGAAGGAATTGAGATTTTTGTACACATGTGTATTTTACCAGTGAGCAAGTTATATTCGTAAATGGGTCATATCGGCCCCCGTTTTCGTAAAACCCCTAAATATGGGTTCCTCTCAAAATTAGGTATTTTGATTATTTTATTGAGATTTTAGACGGGAATTGTTTCAAATTTCATATTAGAAGATCTTAATGGGTACTACAACATGTGACATAAAATTTTTTATGCAGGTCCACGCCTTCGTATAGCACCTGTATAAATGTATCTTCCAATATTCTATATTTTTATGGTATTAAATACATTATAGATCGGAATTGTTTCAAATTTCGAATTTAAAGTCGTAATGAGTTCTATGGACTATGACACAAAAATTGCGTTTTCGTATAGCCACCAAATAACGATACCTCCCGACTTTCGGAATTTTAATGATTTTAGAGACATTATTTACTGGAATTGTTTCAAATTTCGTAATGAGTACTACAGCCTATGACCGAAAATTGCGTATGCAGGTTCACGTCTTCGTAAAAATACACCTCCTGTTATTTCGAATTTTAATTATTTTAGAGACATTTTTGACCGGAATTGTTTCAAATTTCATATTAGAAGAAGTAAATGGGTACTACTACCTATGACAAAAAATTACTTATGCAGGTCCACTTTTTGGCATAGCCTCTATAAAACTATACCTTCCAATATTCCGTATTTTTATGGTATTAGAGACATTATAAATCGGAATTGTTTCAAATTTCGTATTTAAAGTCATAATGAGTTCTACGAATTTCGACACAAAAATTATTATAAAAACAAAATTATAAAAACCAAAATCATATAAAGATACCTCCCGACTTGAGAGATATTAATCTCCGGAATTGTTTCAAATTTCGTAATGAGTAATACAGCTTTTGACTAAAAATTGCGTATGCAGGTTCACGTCTATGTAAAAATATACCTAATGTTATTCCGAATTTTAAAAGACATTATTGACCGGATCCTCGTCTTCGTATATAACAGTACCTCCCTTTATTCGGTATATTTATGATATAAGCGATATTATTCAACGGAATTGTTTTAAAGTTCGCATCTGTAGTTGCTTATGGATATTACAGCCTATATTGAAACATTGCGTAGATAGGTATCCGTCTTCGTGTGGCCATCATATAGAGGTTTTCACATAAGGGTTTTTTTTGACGACATTTTTTATTAATTTTTTTTTTTAGTTCCTTTCAAATGGTAGAGGACGTTTAGAAGCCGAACTTAGTTGCTGTTTTACTACGGCCGAACTTAGTCGCTTTATTCCTTCTTTTGAATATTTTTTTGTGTCAATAATACTAAAATTTCCAATCATTAGCGATTACTTTTAGTGCAGAATGAACCTTCCCGGCAAAGTGACGGAAAAGCGTTCCTGACCTTTGATGATGCTTTGGTTTAACAATCGAAAACTAGAAAACGAACATAGATATTTAAATGATTTTTAAGCAATCCCATTATGTTTAGCAATATTTAGCGAGATTCGTTAATTATAATCAAGAAGATTTCCGAACTACAGAAATTTGATAGCAATGTTTAGGGGTTTTGGCTATGAATAGAAACCTCTTACTTACTAAAATATCATCTTCCACGTATAGCCAAAAATTCTAAACTATTTCTATAACACATATTATTTTCTACAAGAAATGTCATTATCCCCTACTGACATAATATTCCAGCAAAAAAAAACTAGGCTTCCGCAATTTCCTTTTTTCCGATTTCCCGACACACTTTCTCCTCTTAAATTTGTTCATGAAATTTTAATTACCTACCACCGGTTGCTGGTGGCAACCTAATTAATTGTGAGCAGCGTAACACCACACAAATGAAGCCACCAACCACATCTTATTAACTGCGACTGAAAAAGTAAATCATCCAAACTAAATAGACTGGCAATAACAATGAGCATAGGAGCAAATCCTTTTCTGGTCACAGCTGGTCATTAATCTGGATTTCACTGAAGCGGGTCTTAATGGGTTTTAATTGTGGCATTTTTTTGCGTTTTTTTCTCTCTCTCTCGTCTTTGTTGGTATGCATTTTTATTTTGTTAATTATTTTGTCCGATATGTCGTTATACACACGAAGGCATTCCTGCAAAACAAAAACGACAAAAAGAAATTGCAGTTCCCATGGAATTGTTTGACTTGCAAAAAATAGAAAAAATGGTCTGTCAATATAAAAACAGTTTGACATATCATTTGTCATATTAGATGTCGTTCAGATCGCTTACTAGTCGAACAATAAACAAAAAGAAAATCAATCAATCGGAGATCAATTTTTAAGTTTGAAAAAAAAATCCCGATATTATTTTGAGACGATCGCAGTGAAAAGATGATTAAGTCGGTGAGTGGAAAATACAAAATTTCGGAAATATATTACATTTCGGTTATTGTAATTCATTAATAAGCCCATATTAAATTTTTAATTCTTCATGGATCTACACAAGTTCTTATACCTCTATCTGCAAAATTTAAACTGCATTTAAAAAAAATAATAATTAAATGTTTTTAAACTTTAAGGTTGTTCTTCTGACTTTGATTTGCTGCTCTCATCCATCTCTGGCCGGAATTATTGGCGGATATGGTGGACATGGGGGAGGTGGTGAGGGGGGTTATGGTCTCATAGCTGCTCCGGTTGTGGAGAAGGTCATATATGCCAAAGCAGAACCTGTGATCAAAGTGATATACGGTGGCTATGGAGGCGGTGGAGAAGGAGGATATGGAGGTGGTGGCGAAGGCGGTTATGGAGGCGGCGGAGGTGGTGGTAAAGGTGGTGGAGGCGGAGGTGGAGGCGAAGGCGGTTATGGTGGAGGAGAAGGTGGTGGTGGTGGAGGAGGAGGTGGTGGCAAAGGCGGTTACTATGGTGGCTTCGGTTTCGGTAAAGGAGGTTATGGTGGCTACGCTGGAGGAGGCGGCGGTAAAGGTGGCGGAGGTGGAGGCGGAGAAGGTGGCTATGGAGGTTTTGGTAAAGGAGGTTATGGTGGCTACGCTGGTGGTGGTGGCGGTAAAGGAGGTGGAGGTGGCGGCGGTGGCGAAGGAGGCTATGGCGGCGGTAAAGGTGGTGGAGGAGGTGGCGAAGGAGGTTATGGAGGCTTCGGCTTTGGTAAAGGAGGCTATGGTGGTGGTGGTGGCGGCGGTGGAGAAGGTGGTTATGGTGGTTTCGGTAAAGGAGGTTACGGTGGCTATGCTGGTGGTGGCGGAGGTAAAGGCGGCGGTGGTGGTGGAGGAGAAGGCGGTTATGGTGGTTTTGGCTTCGGCAAAGGAGGCTATGGAGGTGGCGGTGGTGGCAAAGGAGGAGGTGGTGGCGGCGTTGGAGAAGGCGGCTATGGAGGCTTCGGCTTTGGTAAAGGAGGTTATGGTGGTTACGCAGGTGGTGGTGGCGGCAAAGGCGGCGGCGGTGGTGGTGGCGGAGAAGGCGGTTATGGTGGTTTTGGCTTCGGCAAAGGAGGCTATGGAGGTGGAGGTGGGGGCGGCGGAGAAGGTGGTTATGGCGGTGGCATTAAAGCCGGCTATTCAAATGGCGGAGCTGGCTATTATTCTGTCTCATTTGGCGGTTGGTAGAATGTGATTTCAAATTGTTTTTATTTTTTTTAATAACTAAATAATATAAGTATTCAATTATTATAAACATATATTTCAAAATATTATTAATTGCATATGTAAAAAAAAATATTTAAAAAGTTTTGATCTTAAAATTGTTAATAATTAAAAAATGTAATATTTGTTTTGCAAATAAAAAATAACTGTTAAAACCTAATATTAAAGAACTCGGTATGGGCTCCGATAGATTAAAGATCTTCTGGAGACAGAACAACATTTAAAGGTCTGAAGGGTTCTGAAGGCCTTCTGAAGGTCCTCTATAGAAAGGAGTCCTTCTGGAAGCCTTCTATGGAAAGGAGATCTTCTGAAGGTCTTCTATAAATAGGAAACATTTTGAAGGTCTTCCATAAATAGGGGACATTCTGAAGGTCATCTACCTTATGAATTTTTCTATAGGAGGACTTTATAGAGGGGATACATTGTGGAGTTCTTCTATAGATAGGAGACTTTCTAAACGTTATCTCCAGATAGGAGATTTTCTGTAGTAAGGAGATTTTCTGAAGGTCTTCCATAAAAAGGGACATTCTGAAGGTCATCTGCCTTATGAAGTTTTTCTATTAATATGAGGTCTTTTTTAGATAGGAGACCTTCTGATGGTCTTCAATAGATAGGACACATTTTGAAGGTCTACTATAGATAGGAAACGTTTGATTGGTCTACTATAGGTAGGAGACCTTATTGAGGTCTACTATAGATAGGTGAAATTCTGTAGGTCTTCTAAAGATGGGAGACCTTCTGAAGGTCTTCTATAGATAGGAGACCTTTAGAAGGTTATGGAGGACCTTCTAAAGGGGACCTTCTGAAGTTCATCTACCTTATGAAGTTTTTCTATAAATAGGAGGTATTTTATAAATAGGATACCTTCTGAATGTATTCTATAGATAGGATACCTTCTTAAGGTCTTCTCCAGATTCTAGGAGGTCTTTTATAAATAGGATACCTTCTGATGGTCTTCAAAGATAGGAGATCTCTTAAAGTCTGCTATAGATAAGAAACGTTCCGTAGGTCTTCTAAAGATGGTTTTGAAGGTCTACTATTGATGTGAGACCTCCTAAACGTCTACTATAGATATGAGACATTCTGAAGATCTTCCATAAATAGGGGACCTGAAGGTAATCTTCCTTATGAAGCTCTTCTACACATACGAGACATACAAATAGGAGGTCTTCTTTTAATTGGAGGTCTTTTAAAGATATGAAACCTTCATAAGGTCTTCTATGGATAGGTGGCTATTTTTCTACGACTTCTACAAACATTATACACAATAACTTAAAAAACTATGCCAATTTTTTAATCACATTTTTTATTAGTATTTCTTTTTTACAAACAAAAATCGAGGACTATTTTCTTTACAACAAAACAAACAAAATGGAAAAAATAAAAATATTCAGATGAAAACATCTCTTAACTTCAAACAGTTACAACATGTCATTGTAACTGCTTCAAGTCCATTTCCATCCCTCAGAAAACACCTTACCAACCATGGCCATAACCCAAACCACCATAACCCAAGCCATGACCATAACCCAAACCATGACCATAGCCCAAACCCAAAGCGGGTGCTGGTGCATAACCCAATTTAGCAACTGGGGCAGCATAGGAAATGGCAGGAGCAGCCGCAATCTTGGTGATGGCTGGTGCAGCATATGAGATAGCAGGAGCTGCGGCATATTTAGTTATAGCTGGGGCAGCATATGAAATTGCCGGAGCATGAGCAATGGCGGGTGCAGCATACGAGATTGCTGGGGCGGCAGCATATTTGGTTATTGCAGGAGCTGCATATGAAATGGCAGGGGCGGCAGCGTATTTAGTTATGGCCGGAGCGGCATAGGAAATAGCTGGAGCAGCGGCAATTTTTGTGTACGCCGGAGCAGCATAGGAGATTGCAGGGGCTGCTGCAATCTTCGTGTAGGCTGGTGCAGCATAAGAAATGGCTGGAGCAGCAGCTAGTGCATGACCGCCTAAATAACCATGGTCAAGGCCACCCAAGTAACCGGGTGTTGCGGCGGCACTGGCCACAAGTGCAAGGGTTACAATGACCTGGAGATGAATATAAATAAATATTAATTCACGATTTTATTACAAATTTACGGAAAATTTACAAATATACAGAACATTTTACGGAACTTTTTTTAAGACAAAAAATCTCAATTATAGCTTATCTGAGAATAGGTTCGCAATTAAATTTGAAATTACGGCAAAACTCTATAATAACATAAATCAGGTGCCTCCATTATGTGTGGTCTAATCAAAGCGAACTTTTTTGGTATGAAGTTGGCGTAGTCAATGAAAACTCGATATTATAGCTAAGCCTGTTGGAAATGGGGTTGATCTAGAATTGCAGATGTTAATTTGTCTAAAATCGAGCAGTGCTTAATATAATGGCTAAATTAAAATATGGACCGCGGTTTATTGTCCATCTTTGAAATTGACCAAGCTGAACTTTGTAAATCTTAAATTCATATCTCGATTTCTATTGATATAAAAGCTATTGCAGACCCTAGCACAACCGTATTTGTAATTAATATTTTTCTATCAGTACGAGTTCTTTTCCAAACCCTCTGTAAAGCTGTCGATTTTCCAGGTTGCATAAAGGCAAAAGTTATGGACCGAATTCTATTTCCATTTCATCTGGAAGAGAAGGTTTCATTGCTGGCCTTCTAAAGACAAATGAGATTTACTTATCTGCTATAAACATAATAGAATTCTTCTATAGAGAAAGTACTTTTCAACGCCTCTATGAAATAAAGTATTTTTACAGATATCCCATAAATAGGAAATCTTTTGAAAATTAAAAAGTACCTTGAAGGTCTTCTAAAAGTTCGCTTATCATTGGGGTCTTCCATTGATAAAAGCTCTTGTGTCTGCGATGCGGTCTAAGGAAATACTACGTTTTAGAGTGAATGTTTTTAACATCGAACTTCTATGCATTAGGAATAGGATTACAAGAAATCAACTATATTTTTCGACAATTCATTGAAAATTACTAGTCTTTGATAATTATCAAAAATATAAATCTATACACATAATATCGGATATATGTGAAAACAAGTAAAAAAGCTGTAAGTTCGGCCGGGCCGAACTTTGAATACTCTCCAACATTTGGAACAAATTGAACAATTTTCAAAAAAATAAAATCCGTTAAAAATTCTGTTCAAATCTTGAAAATGTAGCCTAATGTAGCCGTATACAAAGGCGTAGACCTGCACAGAAAATTTTCTGTCATGGGCTGTAGCATCCATTACGAACTTCAAATAAAAAATTTGAAACAATTCCGGTAAATAATGTCGCTAAAATCATGAAAATACCAAATATCGGGGGGTACCGTTATATGGGGGCCATACGAAGACGTGGACCTGCACAGACAATTTTATGTCATAGGCTGTAGTATTCATTACGAACTTCAAATGCCAAATTTGAAATAGTTCCTGTAAATAATGTCGCTAAAATCATCAAAATACCGAATATCGGGGGGAAGTCGTTCTATGGGGACTCTACGAAGACGTGGACCTGCATGGCCCATTTTCTGTCTTAAGCCGTAGCATCTATTACGAACTTTAAATATTAATTTTGAAACAATTCCGGTAAAAATGTGGCTAGAATCATCGAAATACCGCATATCGAGAGGTACCGTTATATGGGGGCTATACGAAGACGTGGACATACATAGCCCATTTTCAATACCAAAAGTCCTGCAGATATAGTACACATTTGAGTAAAATTTTATCAACTTACTTCATTTCGTTCGGAAGCTAGAGTGACGGACTGACGGACGGACATTGATAAATCGACATAGAATTTTAAGCTGATGAAGAATATATATACTTTGTTGGGTCTAAAATGTATATTTCGAGGTGTTACAAATGGAATGACAAACTTATTATACCCTCCATACTATGGTGGAGGGTATAAAAATCCAAATGAAACCAGCAAAGAAAGTCTTAAAGTCGGGCAGGCGAGAGGAGTATATTTCTCTGAATCAACTTCTACTAAATTATGCCGAAACACTTGTGCCTTTTCAGTTCCATTTGGTGCACAATTAACTTGAAAAGTTGGATAATGACATATATGGGAGCTATATCCAAATCTGAACCGATCTCGATAAAATTTGGCAAAGATATTTCTTAGCGGTATTTGATATATTTCCCCGAATTACGTATTACGGCTGTGGAGAACACATATAACAAATCGGATGCATTTTATATATGGGAGCTATAGCAATATCTGAACCGATTTTCACCACACTTGTTTCTAGGCTCAATTTGGTAGTAAGTTCCTATTTGGGATAATATTATACGTTTGATGCACAATAAAAAGAATATCGGAGGAAGATATATATGGAAGCTATATCCAAATCTGAACCGATCTCGACAAAAATTTAGCAAAGTTATTTTGGAGCTGTATTTAAAATACTTCCCAAAATAGCGTTGTTACAGAAGGCATACTACGGCTACGGAGGACCAAAATAATAAATCGGATAAAGAATATATGCATATGGGAGCTATATGTGGCCGATTTATTTTCCGGCCTAATTTGGTCGTATTTGCAAAATTCAATACTATTTGGGCTGATTTTATACGTTTGGTACGAAGTCATAGTATGCATCCTATGTCAATGATAATTGGTATGAGAAGCAACATATAGCATTCAAAAACCTTGACGGAGGTTTAGCTCCATCTGATTGTGAATTTCAGCCGCTCAAAGGTAATTATATGAATTCAATAAAAACCCGGTTTGAAATATTTTACTTCGTCACAAATTCACAATATAAAGGTGTATTTGTTGCAGGTAGCTCTGCTAAATATACAAGTTGGTGTAGGCCTCGAACGACTTCTGTCCTTTTCTTGAAGGTTTTTATTCAAATGTATTTTTCTCAGCTGCTCCATAATAAAATGTAACGAACAGATTTCTTTTTATACCCTCCACCATACATAGTATGGACGGTATACTAAGTTCGTCATTTCGTTTGTAACTCATCGAAATAATAATTTTAGACCCAACAAAGTAGATATATTCTTGATCAGCGTAAAATTCTAAGACGATTTAGCTCTGTCCGTCCGTCTGTTGTAATCACGCTACAGTCAAAACGAATTTAGATAGAAAGCTACAATTTTGAACAGATCAGTCTTTTGTCTGCAGGCAGGTCAAGTTCGAAGATGGGCCATAAGGTCTACGATATCGAATGGTCCCATGTAACGCTACCCCCCGATATTCGGTATTTTTATGATTTCAGCCAAAATTTCAACGGAATTGTTTCAAAATCCACACAAGGAGTTCCTTGTGAGTGCTTTATTCCTTGACAAGAATTGTCTATATTGGTCTACTATATCGTATAGTTCATATAACGGTACCTCCCGATATTCGATATTTTTTTGATTTCAGCCAAAAATTTCAATAGAATTGTTTTAAAATCCACACAAGGGTATGCCTCTGAGTACTTTACCTTCGAAGAAAATTGTCTAAACGTTACCACGTTTTAGTACAGCACCCATATAACAGTGCCCCCAGATATTCGGTATTTTCGTTATTTTTGCGACATTATTCACTGGAATTGTTTCAAATTTCGTATATAAGGTTCGAAACCGTTACTACAGCCTATGACATAAAATAACTTATGCAGGACCATGTCTTCGTATAGCCGCCATATATCGGTTTTCAATTGAGCAGAATTTTTCTACGGAATTTGTTTTTAAATTTTTTAAGTTTCTTCTGAATGGTGTAGGGCATAAAAAGTTCGTCCCTGCCGAACTTAGCTGCTTTTTTACTTGTTTTCTTTTCTTCTGTTAATTTATTTTTTTTTTTGCATTTCAAATCCTTTATAAGGATTTTTTTTGTTTTACACACATTCTCATTATTGGTCAATAGTTTTTCCAAGGACTCTCAGAATTTATTCTCATTCTGTTTTTCACATCCTTTTTAAATTATTTTAAGATTTTTTATTTCTATTCACACATCCTTTGTCGATACGTTTTTTACTTACAAACTTCAACATTTTATTGAAAGGGATTTAAAAAATTCGTTGCTTGGTTTTGGAAACACACTCTCGAGTTCTTTATGCTAACAAAGCTAGGTGGACTTTGGGTTTCTTGTTCCAGTTGCCAATAGTATTTATAGCCGAAATATTGTGACTAGCTGTTCGTTTAGGTTTCTATAAAAATGAAAACAAAACGAAAAAAAAAAAAAAAAAAAACTTATGAAAAATCTATAAAATCTTGCAGCAACACCATGACCAGTCATGGCATCTCTCAGTAGGCCTACTTTTCTAGAGGTGTGTGTTTTTAAAATTTTGTTGCAGCTGCGACATCAAACGACACACAGAGTGAGAAGTTTTATTCGTCATCCTCTGTGGCCGGCCGTAGCACCACTTTGTTTTGCGTTCCACCTAACCCCGAAAATTGACAAACTAAAGTGCATAGTTTGAAAATAAAACCAAAACACTTTTACTTTTTTTCCACCTCAAACAATGTAGCAACGAAGCCAACGACGAAGTCCAGTGCGTTGAGTTCTCAAAACATTTCAATTGGTAACAATATTTGGCGAACGAAAAAAAAAACACGGTATGAAGATCAATGCAAGCTGTTTTGTAACCAACATTATTCAGGTGGAGTTTTTATTCGGTCGTGGAAACGGACAAATGTTTGTTACAATTGTGTGTGTGTGTGTTTGTGTAAAATACAATATTAATAAATAAATTGTTGGGTTTTTTGGATAGATTTTCTTGGTATCGCTGCTAAATTAGTGGAAAACGATTTAAATTATTTTAATTGTATTGCTGAAAGTCGAAATAAATTTGGTTGTATAATAAATTTTATGGGAGAATATTTGCGTTCATTATTTAACAGAAATAATGCCACTAAATGTGAACTAGTTTTTTTTTCGGAACTAGTTTTTTTCGGGATTACGGAATATGAATATGATGAAATTATATTAATTAATTATAAAATTGTATAATATAAACTTATGTATGTATGCTTTGTGTTTAATACAATGCGAAGTGAGTTTTGTCATCACTACTCTCAATTGCAATTGCAAAAATGGTAAGACATTTGCAGAACGCTACAAAGCAGTGCCAAGTGGTATCTGATTATGTCAAAATTTGGTATATAATTTTTATCAA